ACAAATTGTGTTGTCAGAGGAGAAGAGAACATCGACAACACGGGAAGCATATATCAGCATTGCCATTATCTTCTTCGACATAATTGTCACCACTATCATTATCCTCAATGTCCAAATTTTTGTGTCAGTCTGACATGTTCTTTTTATTTTACTTCTTCTACTTCTTCTTATTTTTCTTTTTATAAGATCATATCCGTCTTCTCCGTTTCTTCCTAATAATCAGCATCATCATCACAACTGTCTAGCCTTCGATTCCCCTTACTGATGCATAGGTTCTTAAACCACAAGTGCCCGGCTCTCTAGCGTAGTTGGCTAAACTGGATTGCACGGAGACCGGCTGACGAACTCTTTGTGGTCCGGGTTCACTCCCGGGGGTAGGCAGAAAAGCCATATTTCTCCCAGATTGACGGTATTTACAATGGAAAATCTTCTTGCCTGTGTTATCTCCAGAATCTCTTTCAGATGTCAGTCCTTCTATAAAATTGTTATCTCATGCCAGACGTTTAGAATGCAAAGTTATTCGTTGAATAATAGCTTCCGTTTGAATAAGACGAGATCTGACATTTAGCCTTGGTCGGCATTAGGTCTAACAGGGATGCTGCGACTGGCGGTCAGTCAGAACATTGTCTAACAAGGATGCTGCGACTGGCGGTCAGTCAGAGCATTGTCTAACAGGGATGCTGCGACTGGCGGTCAGTCAGAACATTGTCTAACAGGGATGCTGCGACTGGCGGTCAGTCAGAACATTGTCTAACAGGGATGCTGCGACTGGCGGTCAGTCAGAACATTGTCTAACAGGGATGCTGCGACTGGCGGTCAGTCAGAACATTGTCTAACAAGGATGCTGCGACTGGCGGTCAGTCAGAGCATTGTCTAACAGGGATGCTGCGACTGGCGGTCAGTCAGAACATTGTCTAACAGGGATGCTGCGACTGGTGGTCAGTCAGAGCATTGTCTAACAGGGATGCTGCGACTGGCGGTCAGTCAGAACATTGTCTAACAGGGATGCTGCGACTGGCGGTCAGTCAGAGCATTGTCTAACAGGGATGCTGCGACTGGTGGTCAGTCAGAACATTGTCTAACAGGGATGCTCCGACTGGTGGTCAGTCAGAGCATTGTCTAACAGGGATGCTCCGACTGGTGGTCAGTCAGAGCATTGTCTAACAGGGATGCTCCGACTGGTGGTCAGTCAGAGCATTGTCTAACAGGGATGCTCCGACTGGTGGTCAGTCAGAGCATTGTCTAACAGGGATGCTCCGACTGGTGGTCAGTCAGAGCATTGTCTAACAGGGATGCTGCGACTGGTGGTCAGTCAGAGCATTGTCTAACAGGGATGCTGCGACTGGCGGTCAGTCAGAACATTGTCTAACAGGGATGCTCCCACCGGCGGTCAGTCAGAGCATTGTCTAACAGGGATGCTGCGACTGGCGGTCAGACAGAGCATTGTCTAACAGGGATGCTGCGACTGGCGGTCAGTCAGAGCATTGTCTAACAGGGATGCTGCGACTGGCGGTCAGTCAGAGCATTGTCTAACAGGGATGCTGCGACTGGCGGTCAGTCAGAGCATTGTCTAACAAGGATGCTGCGACTGGCGGTCAGTCAGAGCATTGTCTAACAGGGATGCTGCGACTGGCGGTCAGTCAGAGCATTGTCTAACAGGGATGCTGCGACTGGCGGTCAGTCAGAGCATTGTCTAACAGGGATGCTGCGACTGGTGGTCAGTCAGAGCATTGTCTAACAGGGATGCTGCGACTGGCGGTCAGTCAGAGCATTGTCTAACAGGGATGCTGCGACTGGCGGTCAGTCAGAGCATTGTCTAACAAGGATGCTGCGACTGGCGGTCAGTCAGAGCATTGTCTAACAGGGATGCTGCGACTGGCGGTCAGTCAGAGCATTGTCTAACAGGGATGCTGCGACTGGCGGTCAGTCAGAGCATTGTCTAACAGGGATGCTGCGACTGGCGGTCAGTCAGAGCATTATCTAACAGGGATGCTGCGACTGGCGGTCAGTCAGAAAATTATCTAACAGGGATGCTGCGACTGGCGGTCAGACAGATCATTATCTAACAGGGATGCTCCGACCGGCAGTCAGACAGAAAATTATCTAACAGGGATGCTGCGACTGGCGGTCAGTCATAATATTATCTAACAGGGATGCTCCGACTGGCGGTCAGTCAGAGCATTGTTCTTCTAATTCAGCAGCTTCTGCAGCACGCTTTTTTTCCAAACGTATTACTGTTATCTTCCTTTTGAGATAATCAAAACAGTCCGAGAAAGATAAAATAAGGTAGTCAAGAGGAAAAGCATACAAATCATTCTATCAACAGACAACACATTGGAAAAAAAAATAGACAAGACTTACATATCATTCAGTAGACAAGAGAGAGAGAGAGAGAGAGAGAGAGAGAGAGAGAGAGAGAGAGAGAGAGAGAGAGAGAGAGAGAGAGAGAGAGAGCGAGGGTGAATGAGAGATCACGTCGCATGGACAGGGCATGATCCTTACAGCCCAGCCTGTGTGCGGCGGAGAGAAGGGAATTTATCGACGTGCTTTATTTGCTTCGCCATAGGTCCTGACTCCTATGCTTCCCGTTAGAA